GTTCTAAGGATCTAATACCTACTTCTGACATCATGGATACCAATACATACATGCAGGCAAAACACCCTGGAAACATAAACATTTTTAGTTAAAAAATACTGCTGTAATTTGAAGATAACTATTTTTTCTTGTTCTTTTCTGCTTCCTTTTCAGATGTGCTATACTTATGTTTCAAAGAGAATTTGCTCTTCGTTTGGTTGCAAAACCAGGAGATAAATTATACTGCAGACTCTCTATTAATACACAGCTTTTAGCACGTGTGGACCATTTAATGAAGGTATGTGAGTTTTGTTGTTGTTGGTTTTTTTTTTTTTTTGTTTTGGTTTTACAAGACAGGGTTTCTCCGTATTGTTTTGGAGACTGTCGGTCCAGCCTGGCCTCGAACTCACAGAGATCCGCCTGTCTCTGCCTCCCGAGTGCTAGGATTAAAGGCGTGTGCCACCACCACCTGGTTTGTTGTTTTTAATCCTTAAATAATCTAGTTTAATTCACCCTGAGCACTTGGCCTTTCCCTAAGCACCTTGCTCTCTAACTCCGACTGGCCTGAACTATCAGCTTCCCAAAGCCTAAGCCACTGTACCTGGCCAACAGAACATCTTTGGTTACCAATTTATAAAGTTACCCTTGCCGGGTATGGTGACACACCTTAATCAGGTGAGTTCCAGGCCAGCCAGACCTACATGGTGAGGCCCTGTCTCAAACAAAAAGTAAATGAAGTTGCCTGTGAGAGGACTAAATGTTTCTTATTAATAGGTGGGGAAGAATAACTTCAGGCCGCCTCCCAAGGTGGAGTCCAGCGTTGTAAGGATAGAACCTAAGAATCCACCACCACCTATCAATTTTCAGGTGAGGCCAAAATACTAGGCCATTAAAGGCAAAAACGTCCAGGTTGGAAAGCATCATTCTAAAGAGCAGAGCAGTTCTGATTCAGTCTGAGTATGCAAACACAGGAAGATAGGAAGTGCGGTGCAGCCTTAGGTTGGAGTCGTCTGATGGCAAAAGGACTAGAATCCAGTTGCATTTCAGAACTCATGGTTATACATGCTGGAAACATCTGTTTGAATAATACTGTGGTAACAGTTTCTTTTTGGTGTTGCCAAGGCCTTATGCATGTGAAGCCCTTGTGGAAACAGTTTTTCAATTAAAATGACATTAGAGAAAACTTTTGCACAAGCTGCATCCTAAATCACATTTGTGTTCTGAATTTGATATTTTGAGGTAGGGTCTCTTGTGGCTCAAGACCTGGCTCGAATTCTCTTATGTACTGGAGTCCTAATTGTAAGTGCCACCGTCCTTAGTTTGCTTCTATTTTGAAAGTGTTCCAACTGCCGTGTTATATAGGGGGACAACATTTTTTTCCCAGTTAAATTCAGTGAGATTTAAACAAGTGCAGAGGTCAAGTGTACATCTTTTTGCATAAGTGCTAGTGAGATCAAGATGTAGGCCATTTTCATTCCCTCTGGCTTTATATATTAAAAATGATCACAGGTAGCAGGCGTAGTTCTGTATTCTGAAGAAATATTCATCTTATATTTCAGGAATGGGATGGCTTAGTAAGGATCGCTTTTGTTCGGAAAAACAAGACACTGTCTGCTGCATTCAAGTAAGTATTCTGCTTGCTAACAGTGAAAGACCAGTTTTTCAGGTAGTCAAAGCATTTGGTCCTTTACCCAAAAAGAGCTACCCTAAAGTACAGAGACTAGACAGAATTTAATAACCACAAGTGGAGTTGGAAGTCAAATCAGGTTTTTCTTTGCAAAACAGGAAAAACTAATTTAACCACACATTTCCCATGTTTTTGTTTTTGCTTTTGGGTTTTCTCCTCTTCCTTATTTTACTGTGGGTGGGATGTGTCTTGGTGCACATCTGGAGGTCAGAGGACCACCTTAAGGAGTGGAATATCTCCCACTTTGATGTGTTTAGGGCACGGACTCAGGTTATTACGCTTGCACAGCAAGTGACTTTACCAGCTGAACCACCTTCTAGTCTTTGTGCTGTTTTAACTTGAGAGGTCTGACACAACTTGGGCATCTGAGGGTAAGAGGTGAAATTTGGTTTTAGAGAGTGTGGACTTTTTTTCCTGGCCATGCCAAGTTGAGCCTGTGGTTTAAGCGTGCCACCTGAGCATTCTGTCACTCAGTGACTTGCCCAGACCACCTGTTACCTTCTGAGTTCCAAGCTAGCCTTGAACCTGCAATTCCCCCTGCCTCAGCCTTTCTAGCAGCTGTATTATTATAGGCCGTTGCCACCAAGCCCAGCAAAGTTGGTTTTGGTTAGGGAGATTTTGTGGAGTATCTAAGAACCCTTCAGAGTTGAAGTATGTGTAGCTCAGCTACTTAGAAAGTTAAGATGCTGTTATCACTAGAGCACTGGAATTTTGAGGCTAGCTTGGTAATCATTAATGAAAACCTGTTGAAAAAAAAGCACTGTTGGGTATTTGACTCATTTAAAGAACAAGAGGACTTAAAGAGATGTTTATTAGGATTCTTATTGTTAGCTTTGTAAGCTTAAATATTCTGTACCCTTTTAAAATTCCTGAATTTCACCAAGTCATATATTCACTTTGTTTTTTTGGTTTTTTTTTCGAGACAGGGTTTCTCTGTGGCTTTGGAGGCTGTCCTGGAACTAGCTCTTGTAGACCAAGCTGGTCTCGAACTCATAAGAGATCCGCCTGCCTCTGCCTCCCGAGTGCTGGGATTAAAGGCGTGCCACCAACGCCCAGCTCACTTTTAATTTTTTTTTGATACAAGGCTTCTCTGTTTAACAGCCCTAGTTGCCCCAGAACTCTTTGTAGACCAGTCTGGCCTTGAACTCACATACATCCACCTGCCTCTGCCTCCTGAATGCTGGGATTAATGTTGTGCACCATCACCGCCTAACCTTACTTTAAAAATTACATGTGGTGTTTGTGTGTGTGTAGGGGGGGAGCATGGGTCAGAAAACACCCTACAAGATTGGTCCTTCCTCCATGTAGGTTCTGGGGCTTGATTTCAGGTTGTTAGGCATTGCAAATGCCTTTACCACTGAGCCACCTCATAGGCCTGGAACATATATTTCATTTTGTCTAAATTTAAATTATGTATAATCTGACTTTGTAATTGTCACTTAATCTCCAGATCAAGTGCTGTACAGCAGCTGTTGGAAAGGAACTACAGAATTCACTGTTCAGTACATAATACTGTAAGTAGAAATTATCGTATCAGTGATTTTTTTTTTGTTCATTTGAGACAGGGTCTTTATGTAGTCCTGGAGTTCGTTATGTAGAGGAGGCTGGCCTGGAACTCATAGATCCTCCTGCCTCTGCCTCCCAAGTGCTGCCATCTGGCTCTTGCAGTCTACTTTAAGAAATGTCCTTTACCAGTATCTTACAGAGCACAGCCATGCTGCTTCCTCAGTCTGCCTTTCTGAACTACTCACAGAAGCATGATCTATGTGTTCGAAGCATGCTTTCCCTCAGACTTGGGATCTGAGCCTGATCTCAACACAGACTGATTTCAGGGAGCACGCTCTTCTCAGGGTAGCTGCCAAGACTTACAGCTTGTCTGCTCTGTGGTGGTTTTCTCTTCAACTCTGATGAAACTGTTCTCAGGCTTCCCCTACAACCCTCCCCGCCACCAAGTTCTTATTTTTAAAACCTATATATTCTGTGGGACCCTTAAAGTCAATACATAATATCTAACTAGTCCAGGTCTCTTGGTTTTTAAAATGGTCTTGCTACGTAGCTAGGCTGGGCTTGAGGTTAACCTCAGAGATCTTCCTGCATTAGCAGAGTGAGCTGCCATGCCTAGCTAGTTTCAAAAGATTAATTTTTCTGTGAACACCGAACAAGCTTGTCTTTAACATTTGTACTTAACCCTAGTAAGAGTTGGATTCGGCTGATTTGTAATTCTTCAAATATATAGATTAGCAGTTTGCTTTGCTTAAACGTGTGGAATGTGCTAACCCAAACTGTGATTATCCTGTTTGTTGCTCAGACAGTGGCCCAGGCTGCCACTGTATAGTTGAGAATGTCTAAATCCCTGATGCTTCTACCTTTATCTCCCACTGCTGGGCATCATCTAGAAATCTTAAATAATCAGAACAAAGCATGGGTATTTTTGGTCATGTGCCCCAAGCCTCTTAACAGTTTGAAGTATGGGAGTCCTCATGAATATACATACGCATGTGTATATGCTGTTTGTTGTTTTTCAGTATCTTTAAGTTTGACAGAGCAGACACTTAAGACTATTTCCTTTGTATTTTTTATACCCAGATTCTCCTATCCTTTAATATACCATAGTACTGTTTCCATTCTCTATTATGAACAAAAACTACTACATATGAGTCTAAATTTAAAAACACTTAAGTTGGGCTGCGCGTTGGTGGTGCAAGCCTTTAATCCCAGCATGAAGGAGACAGAGGCAGGCGGATCTCTGTGAGTTTGAGGCCAACCTGGTCTACAGAGGGAGTTCCAGGACAGACTCCAAAACAATACAGAGAAACCCTGTCTTGAAAAAACAAAACAAAACAAAAAAACCAAACCACTAAGTTGGATTTTAAATGGTCTGTGGGTAAATGGTGAGTCAAGTAAAATCAATCACTATTTCGTTGTTTTGAGACAGTCTTATTCTATAGGACAGGCTTACCCTAAACTTAAGTTACTCCTCCTGCCCATAAGTGCTGGGATTACAGGGGTGAGCTATGATACCCACCAAGAGAGAAGTCGTTTCTGAGAAAAATTACCTGGTTAGGTGGGCTGTATGAATTATTTTTAAAAGATCAATAATTGCTTTTAAATTTTATTCGCTTTATTTGTGAGGTCTGAATCTTACTACCATTTTAAAGATGAAGAAGGTCACTATGTGCATGGTAGCTCGAAGTATTCTATGTATTGTCACAAAAGCAGCCTCTAAATTAGAAATCCAGATCTTACCCAAACTGTCAGGTGTTTTCACTGTCCTTTACAAATCTATGAAACGTGACTACAATTACTGAACTTAAAAAAAGAGAGTCATGGTGTCTTCATTAAAGATGTTGTTCATTTATTCTGAATCTTATATTGATAGGTAATACCAGAAGATTTCAGTATAGCAGATAAAATACAGCAAATCCTAACCAGCACAGGTTTTAGTGACAAACGGGCCCGTTCCATGGACATAGATGACTTTATCAGGTAATTACATTTGTTGTTGTTCTAAATGTTGACATTTCTTTACTGTGGTATTTTAAGATTAGAGACTTCAAGACTTTTAAGTGGCATAAGGTGCTACCTGGGAGAGTTATTGCATAGTATTTCCATAGCGTGGAACAGTATTTGGTGTAGAGCAGTGGTTCTCAACCTTCCTAACGCTGTGACCCTTTAATAGTTCTTTGTGTTGTGGTGACCCCAGCCATAAAATTATTTTCATTTCTACTTTTGCAATATCTGTATTTTCCAATGGTCTTAGGCGACCCCACTAAAAAGGTCATTTGACACCCTCTCAAGGGGGTTACAACCCACAGGTTGAGAACCACTGGGGTGAAGGATGGCAGCTAGGCGGCTGCAGCAGAATGAATGTATTAAGATTGGTAGTAAAGAACAGTCTGCGCCAGAAGTAGCCTGGATGTATGTGTGCCTTGTGTGTTTCCTTCCTCCTGCTCCAACCTCAAACTCATTATCTTAATAGTTTATGCTTACCCTACAAATAGTCTGTAAGGTAGAAAAATCATTTTAACACATGTAATTGATTTGATGACCCATTATTCCCTTACTTTAGAATAGCTACTGTTAAACAGATGACAAGCATGAAATAGTTATAACCACATCTGATTATTCATTTAATAACAGACGTAGCCTAAGGCAAATTCTGCACCTATTAAGTTAAAGGGCACCAATTATTTGGCAATTGGGACCAAAATTTGTTTTACTTTGTACTAAGCAAGTTTCAGTTCATTACCCAATTGTACTAACTTGTTTTTACTAACACTTCCAGAAGTTCCTGGACATTCTGTTTATTTTTTTACATTGCTGACAACTGCATTCTGAGGCCTACATATGCTAGATAAGTACTCCTCTAGGATAGGATGTATTCCACGTCTGGCCAGTTTACTGTTAAAGCAGCAGTATTCCAGAGACTGAATTTAAAAGGATGAAGATAGAGTACTGAAGAAATTGTTTTGTCTGGTTAGCAGGATTACTGAGTCTTCACTGACTGTTAACCCTAATAGCTGAATGCTCTTCCAGACATTTTAATCCATACAGGCCATCCTGAAAAGTAAACTCAGGTCCAAATACATTGTATTTTAAACTTCCTTCTTAACTCCCTCAGGGTACTACTTTCTAACATAAGTCAGATAAGCACATAATATCAACAAGGAAGTAATGTATATTTTATTAAACTTCAGTAAGAGTTCAGAGAATAGGAAGAGATTATTCATCTCACTTTGCCTCAAATGCCAGCTAATTTCTTTTTTAACTGGTCAGCTGAAATAGAGAGCGAGGTCTGGGATAGCAAGTCTTTATAATTTCAGTCAAACAGTAGGTTACAACAAGACATAAACATGACACCGTATATTTTGCCAATTTACTTGGAGAGTAACTAGCACTAGGAATAGTGTGTAAGTATGTTGATGTGTTTATGTATTAAAGGTACGTTATGTATCAAAAGTTGGGCTTTTTTGTAACACCATTCATTTTCCATTTTTTCCCCCTTCAGGTTGCTACATGGATTCAATGCAGAAGGTATCCACTTTTCCTAGCCATTTGAAAACAATTTTTCTCAAGACCAAGAAAAAAATGACATTATACATTCCTAATATTATCCTGTATATTAAAAGTGGTTGACTCTATGTATTATTTTTGTTTTTAAGTGTTTTAAATATACTGCAAAGGACAAGGTTCAACATACATAATGGTTTCCAAGTTCAAAAGCCGCAGATGCGCACAACCATTTAAACTTTCTAATAATTTGCTGTATAAAGATGTTACATTTTTATTCACTGGAAGGCTTATTTTAGGCCTGCAGCTCAGTCACAAATCCTCATTCACATGTACAGCAAGTTACTTCATACAACTTTCTTTTACATATCCTCCTCATCTATAATAGCTTCCATGTGTTAATGCCTTCTTTGTTAGATGAGCTGTTGCAACACAGACAAGATTGCCTATCTGGGTAAGCAGGAGTCTGCGGCAACACAGTGCAGGCATGCTCTCTGACTCTACCTATGAAATGAAACTAATAAAATCATGTCATGTCTCTGTTTTCTTGGGGGAGACAAGATCTACCAATTTCAGATTTAGAAAAATCCCAGAAGGGTTTGTAAATCAAATGGGGTTTATTAATTTAGTGATTTTCTTTTCTTTCATGGGTGAGAGGGTCTTTTTTGTTGTTCTTTTTTTTTTTTTTTTTTTGAGGTTGACCTAAAAAAAATCTTGCCTGAGCCTTCTAAATGCTGGGATTACACTTGTGTACCACTGTGTGTAGCTTCAAGTTTTCCAGTTTCAATTCTCACACAACTACAGGCTCCTGGTGTGATTCCTTACTTCTGGATATTTAAAATTCTAGTACCTGGTACTTCTTTTTAAGTAATTTAAAATTTGTTAGACTGAAGATAAATGCTGTTTATATATTTTAATAAATTGGCTGTTTTATTTATATAAGGAAATTAAACTATCTTCATTAGATATTTGGCTGTCTTTGTACCAAAAGGAGTGTTTCCAATTGATTTAGCTAAGGATGCTATGTAAACTTAAGAATATAAGTTGTTTGCCTACACAGATATTTTTTCCCCAAAATCTGGCTTCAAAGTCATGAAGTAAATGTTATGATTTTGAGTCGTTAGCTGTCAATAGTTAAAATATGTATAGCAGCTTTTAAGCTTGACAAAGTGCTATTTTGTCTAAAACAAAAAGTTTCTTAGCTGCAAAAGCTACTTTTGTTACACAGACTATTCTTAAGGGTTAATTATCTTTAATGTCACAGAACTGCTTTGCAGAGTTCTTGTATGTAACATCTCCACCTTTAGAGACACAATTCCACTTAACTAGGCTTTCTCAGCTTCTTTCCCTGTACTTACCAACTGCTGACCTTTATTTAGTCCAGTCCCCTTTAATGGTCTTCAGTTTCCCATATAATAATCATATTTTACCTCGCAAGATGTTTGATGGTACTAGTTTTCAAATACTTTGACTACAGATTAAGATGAAACCAGCATAAGGCAGAATGTATCTATAAAGACCCTCCAAAGATAGCACCTGTCCAGTGCCAATAACATTAAAGCTAAACTGTTGTGCTTAATGAGCAAGTTTGTGTTTACTGCCTATTACATGAGGCGTTCACAAAAAATTACCCTTTTACTGGTGACACGGTCTTTCTACATAGCTCTGGAACTCACTATGTAGACCAGGCTGGCCTTGAACTCAGACATCCACCTACCTCTGCCTCTTGAGTACTGGGACTAAAGGCATGCGCCACCATGCCTGGCAAAAGTTACCTTTTTAACAGCCTCTGCAAGGTCAATAGAAATAGTTCTTCATTCTTCCTCTCGTCTTTGAAACAGACACAAATAGAATACATCTTACAACTGCAAGAAAACCTGAGTTCCTTCCAAAACAAAGGTGAATATATTAAAGTACATTATTTCTAAATTTGTTTCATAGATTTCATTTATTAATAAGCATATTGTGAAAAATCTACATTTGATTTAGATTTCATGTTTACAGAGCTTTTCACCACGGTGTTAGGACTCCTCAGCTATCCTCTCATTTAAGATCAGGGAAGTAAAGACTCTGGCTCATTGACTCTATTCATAGATTTGCCCTTGGTTCACCGAGTGAAGCAGTAGGTTCCCTAATCAAGAGAAACATGGGAGGTTCTTTGGTTAACCTACTGGACTATATACTGGGAACCAAGGGAAAACTCATAGAGATGTGTGTATATATGTATATATATATGTATGTATGTATAAATCTTTAAACAGTATTTACATGAAAATTGGCCAGTTTTCTTTTTTAGAATAGCAGCTGTAAAAATGAGCGCCGCCATTTAAAGAGTAGCTTTCCTTACTACCAATCTATTCGTGAGATGTGATTCTCATCAAATGGTAAACCATCTCATACTAGATATTGATGGAGCTTGCTATGACCTGCCCTGTAAGGCATTGACACTTCTTGGGGTTACATACCATCTACGCTTGTTTATCTAACTTGTATTATGGACTACTTTCAATGTACATACAAATGTTCATGCATCAGAAGCCAAATTCCCTTAACAGTACATTAAATTTGGAGTGCTAGGAAACACTTCAACTTAAATAATGGCATTGTTAAGGATCAAATTATACTATTAGTCTTGTTAACACCACTGGCACACACACTGCATATATATGTATTATCCTAAGATAAAACTCTTCTCAGAATTTCTTTAGTTTTTATTATACACCAACTAGTTTATATTTTAGTTTTTTACAAAGAAAATGCTAAGAAAATTATAATCACATGTCATGGTATTAAAATCATAATTCCAGATTTCTTTACATATAAGATGGAATGGTCCAGCAGCTATGTCAACTGTCACAGACTTTAGTTCCGTTCAATTGCTATGGCACATACTGTAAAATTAACTAGTCACACACACAAAAAAAAGTTTCAAATACAGTAAAAATGTACACACAATAAAGGTAATTTACAGTTACAAATAAGGAATGTAATTTATCTTGGCTGTGCTTCAGAAATCTAGGGTCAATAGCCTTAGTCAAGGCACAGAGAAGGAGGAGTGAACACAGCTGTCTCTAGGCGTGTAGGCAAGGTATGTACAATCACTGATGAGGTATGCATGCACGCAAAGTATTCAAAATTGCTCAGTCTGGCTAAGAAAATGGATCTGAGTTGAAGGAAATTTTGTGGCTTCCCATACTCTCCACTTCTGGATTACTTCCACAATCTTTAAATAAAATTGGCAAGGATATCCAAAAGCAATCACTATTTGGGTAAATGAAACAAAATACTTCACTAATCCCAATTGTTAGTTGTGCCTCTTAGACTAGAAGCATTCTGTAGACAAAGGAGTGTTTCACAAAATTGAAATGTCATTCGGATGAAGGACAAGATATTTCCACACACTTAAATATTTCAAAAAGCGTTCAAGTGGCCTTTACGATTAGACCACCATTTGTTACAGTATTGGGGATTCTGGGGATCCTTTAGTAGCAAATACCAATTTTAGAGGGCTCTGGGTCTCTTGGGGTTAATTTGCTTGCTTGCCTGCTCTTCTTCTTGTAGCGCTGCACGAAAAGATTTCACTTTATCTTGGGATAAGAAGAGAACAAAGGAGTAAGTATTGTAGAACAAGCAGTATGATGCACAACTTTTTTTTTTTTTTTTTTTTTTTTTTTGGTTTTTCGAGACAGGGTTTCTCTGTGGCTTTGGAAGCTGTCCTGGAACTCACTTTGTAGACCAGGCTGGCCTCGAACTCACAGAGATCCACCTGCCTCTGCCTCCCGAGTGCTGGGATTAAAGGCGTGCGCCACAACTTTTATAGCATGTATCAAGTTAGCACTTGTAACAAAAACTCAGCATTTCTCTTGCTCTATGTCATCTAGAACCTCAGAACTAAGTTCAACTAGAACAAACTCATGCATACCTAGTAAAAACCTATTTATTTTCCAACCAGTTTCTCTTACACACATTTCATAGTGTTGAGTTTTAGTCTTTGTATGGGGGAGGGGGTTATAGGAAGGCTTTTAATGTTTAAATATGTAGTCCTATCTAAAAGGAAAATGATGAGTAGTACTCAGACGTAAAACATATTCCTTTGAATATTATGAGATTTCTACTCAGTCCTACTCTACCTTTTTTAAGCTAAGAAAATTTAAAAGCTGAATTAAAGAAATATAAAATGGCATCTGTTTTCTCAACAGGGATTATAAAACAGGGTAACACTTAATTGCTCTTATATATTCTTTCTACTACTACTATGCATTGATCTAGAGTCTCATGGACTACCAATTTGCTAATATATTGTCAGAGAAATTATAAGCAGATATGCAAATGAGACATTTTTCTACAGCAGTAGTGCTCAAATGGAAGTGATTTTTGCTCCAGGAACATTTAGTAATGTCTAGAGATGCTTTATCACAACTGGTATGGTGCTTTCGCTAGTGGATAAATGCTTATAAGCAAAAATATGCAAATATTTTACCTGCATAGGACAACACCCTTCAACAAACAATGGCCTACACATGCTCTAAATAGTGCCAACAATTATGTAATTCTACTTTAGGATGGAATGTAGCTCAGTGGTATACACGAGGCTCTGGGATCAACCATCATCACAAAACCACGACAAACAGTACTATGTGGTGACCTGCATATGAAAAAATGGTAGGCCCAATATTTTACAAAATTAACTTTTCTGAAATTAAAGACATGTTAATTGTGCCACTTGAACTAAAACATTTTGTAGATGGAGTGTTTTACAGAGTCAAAATATCATTCAGATGAAGAATGAGAATTTCCACAAACTTAACTATTTCAAATTTTGAAATGGTTCTTACAACCAAATCATCATATGGTAACTACAGTATTGTGGGTTTGGGAGAATCTTTTCAACAACTCATCTAGAGGATGCTGGAGCTGATGCCTGATAAGACAATAAGCTCTCAAACTTCTTTTAGCATTCCAAAATTATCTCCAAATGGTTAAAAAAAAATCTATAGTATATTACTTCTATAGTAACTTGCCCCCAAAATATGTCTGACATACAGAGTCTGAGACAAGCAAGGAAAGGAGTCACTTAAATTGAATGTTACAAATTGCCAAGGAAAAAATTAGAATACATTGGGTTCCATCTCTTACAGTGAATATGTTAATGATGACTGTGGGTCTGCAAAGATAGTAAAGTACAAGCACAAGGACCAGAGTTCAGGCTCCAGAATCCCAACACTCGGTAAGGGAGACACAGCCAGTCTAGCTTAACTTGGTGAGGTTCAGCTTCAGTGATAACCTTCTCTCAACAAGTAAGAGGCATGACATCAACCTCTGACAATACATGCGCATACTCATATACAGAGCCATGACCAATTGTGAATTATTAGGAAAAAAAACGACCCAAAAATTTCAAATCAAGGCTTGAATATGAAAAACATTAAAAACAAAGGTAACTTTTTAAAAGTCACGAATGACCTTATTGCACATGACGTCAAATCATGAAGGGCTTGCTTTAAAAATTCAAGCGGCAAATCTGTGGCAAGAAATAATAAATTCAATCTGATTTACATGTCCGCACACATAAAAACACCCAAAGAAGCAGGGCAAAATCAATACATACGAGGTATTTTTAAAAGTACACAGAATAGGGCTGGAGAGATGGCTCTGCCGCTAAAGGCTAGGCTCACAACTAAAAAATAAAAGTACACAGAATAGGCAAAAAGCCAATGTATGAAATGTGGCTATAGACAATAGAAAAATGGTAATTTTTATGAATCTTTGTGTAATAATAAAAATTCAACACAAAACCCTGTCTCGTAAAACCAAAAAAAAAAAAAAAAAAAACACAAAATGACTTGTATGCTTTACAAATACCAGAGCAGACTGATCTAGAAACTGTTGAGTTCTAAAGTGTGCCTATGTGCATGTTCATGTGTGTACAGGCATGCTGTAGTGCTCAGAGGAACACTACCCTTGCCTTTTTCAAGGGAGGTAGGAAATAGCATATTGTGGAGCAAAATAGGAGTGCAATGGCCTAGGAACCCCAAATTCCATGTTTGATGAAGGTTTTATAGTAACTGAACAAAGAAAGGCATTTTTAAAATGAAATGATGGAAACATCTGAGAGGTAGGTTTCAGTCATGGAGAAACCTCAGGTGTCAGTCTCAGCTATCTGATAATCTGGTAACAATCTTTTGATCAGTGGAGAATAAGCTTTTGCTAATACACTGTGAAAGGTCTTCTCTGTTCATCAGGATGTTAGGTCTCCCTTTCTCTTCTAGGCACAGGGTGTTAGAGCAAACAGAAGTGGACTAGAGTGGCTCTTCACTGGGGCTTAGAGAAACTGTCATTTGGCTTGGGATCTCCAACATTTCAACTTCTCCACATCACTGAAATGCTAAGCAAGCAGCCTCTGCAGACAGCTTCTTGCCAGGAATTCTCCTTTGCAGCCATAACATTAAGAGAAGGTCTCTGTTTGCCACTGCTAGCCTAGAGTAGCTAGAGCTTCCTGAGTTTTTCTGCCTCTACCTCCCACCTTCCCACAGGAAGACAGACTACAGATGTGTGTGACTACAGTAACCTTCACATGGGTTGTGAGGATCCAAACTTAGTTCATTATAAAAAAAATAAAAGCACTTACCCACTGAGCCATCCCCAGAGCCTGTTTTCAATTTTTCTTGTTTTAAGGGAAACATTTAAGAAAATATTGGTTTTGTTGTCTAAAGTTATCTTCACTTCATAAGTCTTTATCATACAAAACCTTTTCACTACTACACATTTTGATTCATGCAAGTTTCATACCAAACACAGTGATGAAAAATAAATTACCTCGTAGCTCAGTTAAAATGTCTATTTTCTGCTCAAGAATAGCTTCAAGTTGTGTAGCATATGAGTCCACATCATAGTCTACTTCTTCAGTCATCTCTAGGAGAGCCTTTTCATCTTCTATCCAGCGAATGGATTCCTAATAATAAAAATTCAACACAAAATGACTTGTATGCTTCACAAATACTTACCAAAGCAGACTGACCTACAAACTGTGAATTCTAAGTCAAACAACTTAAGCTGATATTCTCAAAAATATCTGTAGACATGACACCTCTATTCACAGTGAAATCAAACATTTTCACAAACTTTTTTGGAAGGCCAGGATTGAACCCCGGCATGCTTTGTGAATATTAGGCAAGCATTCGACCACTGAACTACATCCTCAGACTTGTTCACCAAATGAAAAAAGAATACTAAAGGGAAATACTTGCTAGTACATGTCCTACAAGTACACATATATACAACTAAGTAATTTTAAAAGAATTGTGTCCTAATCAAAGAATCCTTGAAACTTTGATTAATGTAAGTAAGGCCTGTTTACCAGAACTCATAATTTTTCTTTCATACCTGGAACACTGCTCTGTGATCCTCTACAACCTGTTCTTCCATTTCTACCATCTGGGAGACAGCTTCGTGGAAAGTAAATAGTTGTGGAGAAACTTCTTCTTCCTTAAAACACAAAGTTTTAAAACATGACCTAAGCTTGTATTTTTAAGTATCACTGAAGTTGCCTGTATTTTCTTTCCCTCCTTGGGAACCCACACAAGATCTCATGTGCTTTTTAAAAACGTTGTGTTCTTCCCTGAACTATAAGCCCAGCCTCGGAGGCAGTTTGGTAAAGTCCTTGTAGAGGGCCATTTTAATGTAAGTCTAAGTAAGGCAACCATGCTGCATGGTGGTGGCATACACCTTTAATTCCATCACTAGGGAGGTAGAGGCAGGCAAATCTCTTTGAGTTCAAGGCCACCCTTAGACAGGCTCTAAAGCTACACACAAAAACCTTGGGGGGGTGTGAGGCAACCAATTCACATGCAAGAAGTCATTTTCACTTAGGAATTTATAATATTATGTACAGACGTACTCTAAAAAGCACTGTCTTTTGGAACAGTCCAACTTTTCAGTTAATGTAAGCTGATTTCAGGTGTGACAAATTGGTATTGGCTTCTCTTCATTAACAATTTACCTCACAGATACATGACTATGATGCATGGAACAACTGCACAGAGAGTATACTTTTTCTTTTTTGGGGAGGCACAGTCTTGCTCTGTAGTCACAGCTTGCCTGATACTATGGAAGCCAGGCTGCTTGTAGGCTCTCATGGCTGAGAATACAGGTGTATGCAACCATGGCTAAGGAGCCAGATACTTTTTTATAGAAATTGCAAATAATAAATCATAATTGTACTTCAACAATAAAGAAACATGACATCACAGGCATGCATGTTTTGGTTGTTACATCAACTCAAAACTTATCTGGCTTGGTTTTACTTTTACAGTCTCCTGCCTAAGGCAGTTCTATTAACTCACTGTTTTCCCAAAATATTGCTTAGGGACAAAGACAACTATTTAAAAGTCTACTTATACACTGTTTTAACAAGTATAAGGAGGCAGAGGCAGGCGAATTTCTAATTTTGGGGCCAGCCTGGTCTACAGAGCCAGTTCTAGGATAGCCAGGGATTCCCAGAAACCCTGTCTCAAAAAATAAAAAAAAAAAAAACCCCAAAATGTCATTCAAAATTCTAAATGTATAAAAAGTTAAGTAGACAATTAGACTTTTATCAGTAAACTATCATACTTAAAAGTTTACACAATAGTTGGTTAGTAAAGATTTTTTTACCTTTTCTATGGGAAAAATGCATCTGTTTTTTATTAGGACATGTAAAAATTTCTCATATTCTCTCTCATGAACACACAACACTTTTTTCCCCTATCTGCCTCCTCTTCAGGAGTGTAATAACCTCTTTCCTTTGGATATGAAACTATGCAAATTCCTGCATTCCCAGTTTACTTCCAAACATGTTTATCTCTAGAAATATATTTTGTAATTCTAATATACTTCATTAGCTATCTACTTGTATTAGTTTTATCTCAGGGATGTGTTTTAAATTCTATTCCCTTTCAGTCTCCTTCATTGAGAATATTGCAAGAATATGTACACACGCACTATCATTTAATGTAACAATACTCTAATATGGGGTTTGTAAAAACTGATGTTATTTAAAATCCTGGCTTGGTACTAGAGATGGCTCCATGGTTAAGAGCACTGGCTGCTCTTTCAAAGGAAGGTTTGTTTCCCAGCACCCAGATTGGCCCACAACCACCTGTAACTCCAGTGTCCTGTTCTGGCCTCCTTCAGCAATGCTCTTACACGGTGCACAGAAATACATGTAAGCAAACACACATACACATAAAAATAAATCTTAAAAAAAAAAAGCAACAAAAAACTGTGGCCTGTGTTGGTCTAGTAAGATATAATAAATGCAAAGATGTGCTATAGTAGGTCCTTATCTTACTCTGGTTTTCTGTATCTCTGGGAGGTGTCATTATCTAGGCATAGTTCAAGATTTGCTTTGAGAATATAGGAACAATTATCTTTCAGAACTTAGGGAGGATGGACTGAAGCTAGGATCTAGTTTTTTTGTCTTCTATGTTCCTCCCACTTGAATAGCAAGCTCTTTACCCCTGAGTCATCTGCCCAACCTCTCCACCTTGTTTTTTCTTGACAAGCTATCACACAGTAGCCATTTGCTAGCCTGGAACTTACTGTGGCCTCAAATTTGCATTAATCCTCCTGTCTGCTACATGCCCAGATCACATGCATTTCTTTATATTTTCCTATCCTTACATTATAAATATATATTTAAAAATAACTAAATAGTTGTAATTTGCAATTTACAAAAGTTTTAAAGACATTTCAAATATTAAAAAAAAAAAAAAAGCCGGGCGTTGGTGGCGCACGCCTTTAATCCCAGCACTCAGGAGGCAGAGAAAGGCGGTCACTGTGAGTTCGAGACCAGCCTGGTCTACCGAGTGAGTTCCAGGACAGGCTCCAAAACCCTGTCTCGAAAAACAAAACAAACAAACAAACAAACAAAAAACAGATTTAGTGGATGCTGGCATTTTTATTGGGGTTTTGTTTCTTTTTTTGTTTTGGGGTGCTTCTGGGACTCACTGCGATTTAATACAATTCCTTTATCTGCTTAATGCATACAATTATGTTGACAGGTTGTTTTGAGATAGGGCTTCCCTGTGTAGGCCTGAATGTTCTGGAACGTGCCTGTAGACCAGGTTGGCCTAGAACTCAGATCAGCCTTGAGTACTGGGATTAAAGGCATGTACCACCACTGTCCAGAACTGTTGACAATTTTTTGTTTTTTGTTTTTAGTCACGTATGTACTTACAAATAATCTTAAACTACTTAGTCACTAAAATTTGTTTTGTTTTGTTTTTCGAGAGTGTTTCTCTGCATGGCCTAGACTGTCCTGAAACTTGCTCTGTAAACCAGGCTGGCCTCAAACTCACAAAATCTCCTGAGTGCTGGAATTGAAGGCATTTGCCACCACTGCACAGCACTAAAGTTTTAATATAGGCATACAATCTGAAAAATAAATAGGCTACTATCAGAGGGCTACTAAGCCAGAAAATTAGATTCATGAGCCATGTATTCCATCACTGCTAGTATGGTTAAGAAAGCAGTCAGAAAAACATGGCTATATTTCAGTAAAGCTGTATTTATCTGAATACACGATTAGTCCACAGGGTGGGCATGCTGATCCCTGCTTTATAGTGTTCAACCAAGTTCTGTTATGGATGAAACAAACTAAAGCTGGACCATTAACAATGATATTATGTCACTCACATTTTGTTCACAAAGAAGTTTTAGATCATCTCTCTGAGGGGAACTCCCCACACCCCACTGTGTCTCTAAGTCATCAATCTGGCTTGGTGGATGGTGCATTATTGGACGGACATCACCAGTAGCAGTTGGATCTACAGTCAATTCTTTCACCCTATAAATATATAAAAGTTATCTCAAATTATGAAAGACTCATGCAGAGACACAAGAAAACACCAACCTATTTGATACAAAAGCAATTCAATTAACATAGTAAGATTGATGATGTCACTTTATACATCAAATTTATCTGAACGCTGGGATTTGCTTAATCCAAGTTTAAACAACTTTATACTTATTCAAGTGTAATTATTGCTCACCATCAGGGAAACTTAGGCAAGTATACGGATTACATTTAATTTCAAAGAAATAAACTATAATTACAATTACATTTTATGATAGAGAAGATCCATAAAGAAACAACTGCTGACATCAGGGGAGTTTATATCCTATGAAGTTTTCAGCAGTCATACTGCTCAGCTAGCCAAATGAGAAATAATTTTATGTTACTTACTTATTGAGACAGGATCTCACTATGTATCCTGGATGGCCTGGAACTCAATGTGCAGATTAGATTGATCTGCTTGTTTCTACTTCTCAAGTGCTAGGATTAAAGGCTTGTGTACTATGACCAGCCATTCATTTTTATGTCTAATGCCTAAAGATTGTAAAAATCTTAACTTCTGTCACATTTAAAAGCTGCACATCTTAAGTTCATACATTTAAAAAAAGATATATTTTTTGAATCACAAAGATGGTTGTTTTCTTGCAGACAAGTAATTTTTATCACACAATAAAGATAAATACACAAAAGTGACATCATCTTTTTAAAAACAAAGGGAAATATGGAGTTCTAAATACATCTTTTAAAGCAAATAAAGGACATAAAATGCAGATCATGCAGTACAACCACCACCTGCTAAATGAAGTGAAAATGAAAAATGGCTTAGAACAAAAGAAATAAATGAACATCTATGTAGAACACAATGCAAAACAAGCTAGTCAAAGAAACGAAGCAAGACCTGGTAATCGAAGGAGAAAAGTCGTCATAATCGTAAGAAGGAGAGAGATCAGGGCGACTGCCACTACTCTGGGAGAAGGGAATGTCTGAAGGACTAATTCCAAACTCCTTTACTCTGCAGTACCAAAACAGTGAGAATTAAAAGAGCTCTTGGTAATGATGGCAATGCAGTTCAACTTTTGCTTAGAAAAGAATATCAACATTGTTACGAGTGTTTTCATAAATAGGTTCCCTAACATGTTTTATTGATCCCCTAACTCAAAAATCCTAAATCTTTCCTTTCTAGTTTACTTCTCCCTTTTCTCACAAATCTTTCTAGAAACTTCAAGGCAACGTTACTCACTGCCCGAATCTGAAGGTTCCTTGCTTTAACTACATGACCCACTCAATCTAATCATTAAAACCAACCAGATTTAATGGATACTGGCATTTTTATCAATGAATCAGTATCGTGTGTGCATGTCTGTGTGTGTCACACACACACACACACACACACACACACACACACACACACACACACACACACACGTGTATGTGGATGTCAAAAGCTGATGTGCAATGTCTTCCTTAACTTCTATTTTATTTTCTGAAACCAGATCTTTTAACCAAGCCTGTTGCTCAACAATTTGGCTAGACTAGCTGACCAGTTTTCCTCCTGCCATCACAGGCCAGGTATGTGCTCCTATGCTCAGCCTTTTCACATACATGCTGGTCCAACGTCAAGCTTTCATACTCGAGCAAGCAAGCACTCTGCCACCGGAGCCATCTCCCCAGCCCCGAGTCCTCAACCATTTTTGCAGTTCTTCTCAAACCAGATATGAGAATAAAATTCTAATGCCTTAAGGCATGTCCTATGTGTAATGAGTTAAAGTTAACTTACCCATCTAGAATTGTATCAACTGTAAAAGCCTCCTCCATATGATGGAGAAAATAAGACACTCAAGTTTTTGTGGTTGGAGATGTTGATTATGAATGTGGGTTGTAAACAGCATTTAGAAATGCATTTTAAAATGTTTTTGCTAATGACAACAGTTACACATAACTGAATTATAACTTTTCTTATCTTGCCTTATATGACATTTTATAACAGGCAATATTTATCAAGTACTAGAATTAGTAACATCTAGGCATTATATATACCTGGTAAGAATCTTATATCTTTATTTCACAGATGAGAAAACTGACAAAGTATCTCATTTGAGGTTATTCAGAAAGAATGTGGTGTAACTAAGTACAAGCTTACCTGAGTTCAAATCATTTCTATGTCACTTAAGATACTATCTGAATTCTATTTTTCTTAGGTGGAACTAAATGAATGTCTTCCTTCACAAGCCAAACCTCAGTCAAATATTATTAATTTCATAAAGATCAAATGAATACACACACGCACGCGCATGCGTGCGCACGCCCACACACACACACACACATGCAATCTATTCACTGTTGAAGGTTTAATATCAGATTGTCCATCTTCTCGCTTTTGTGGAAGGCATGGGAATATACAGCAGCTAACCTTGACCTGGAGATCCTCCTGCCTCAACCTCCTTCATGCTAGAACTATAAACACGTGTCACTAAGTCAGGCCCCTGTCCCTTGATTCTTCAAGATAATCACAATGGAAAGTTTATTTACTACACAAACTGAAAATCTAAAATTGTGCCTCCCACGCCTGTTTCTTCCACGCTTCAGAATCTTGTCATGGAGAAGCACCACTAGTATCCCCCACAAAAGTTCTTCCTATTACAAACCCTCTTGTCCAAGTGCAGAGGTACCATGTCCATTTCCTAAAGGGATACTTTAAAATATTTCAGTAACTATTCTCTTTCAATCACCCTAACCTCTTCCTTTACCAAGATCGTATCTCCTGCTTCAGAAAACTCTGTTTCACAAGCATCCAGTACAGCTTTACTTCTTGGAACAACCACTTCCTCTCCATAAACCTTTCTTTTCAGACAAGATCTAAGATAGCCCAGGGTATCTGGGTACTTGCTGTGTAGCTAACGATGACCTTAAACTCCTGATCCCTCACATTCACCTCTGACATTCCAGGCTTGTAGGCAGGTGCCACACACCTGACAGTATATCTCAATTTTATTAACTGACTGAATTGGACTTGTCATCTTAATCATTTAACATCAAAATGCATTGTTACAAACTATAGCAATAGTTTGTATAAACACTCCTAAAATATATAGTTTCGATACATTTTACAAAGATTACTTTGCTCAGTTCTCAAAACTGTCCTTTAGGGCATGTATGACCGCTGATCTCATCATTCTAAGGATAAGGAGACCAGAGCATATTCTAAGGATAAGGAGACCAGAGCATATTAAGGCTTTGCTACCATCAAGTAGTGAGGCAGGTATCATGCCTACTTTGTCTTAAGAGCCCTTGTCTAGAATGGTCAAGGCCCTAGTTCAATCTCTAGTATGACAATATTAATAAAAAAAACCCATATCTAGCCAAGCATGGTGGTATACACCTCTATTCAGCGACTGGGAGGTAGAGACAGAAAGATCAGGAATTTAAGGCCAGCCTTAGATAGATAATGAGTTGGGAGGCCAGTTTGGTTAGTATACTACCATTACCTCAAACTCTTGGTCTAAATAGTCAAAATCTGAAAAACTTGTGATCTCAACCTATATACTAGTTTCATGTTAGCAGGCATCTTTATTGCCTAAAGTTTTAAAACATGGAAGAGTTTGCTTTAATTCTATTAGACATAATACTAAATCAGTTTTTTGATTCTATAATAAGAATCCACCACAGAAAGTTATTCCCAATCCCTCCATGAGTAACTTTGGGAAAACAAAGCATCCTAAAATGATTATTAACTCTCAACATACTGAAAAAAAATAATTAAAAGACAGTAATATTAATGTCTGTAGCTAAGAGCTTGTAATTCAAACTTTAATAGTTAAACCCATTTAAAGCTCTATTACATTTTTAAGTAGCTATCATATTTTGTGTTTGTGTAGACCCTCCACCCCCAGGAAATGAGAATAGAACCCAGGACCTACTTCTTGCTTGGCAAACATGGACACTGAGCTACATATATCCCTAGGCTAATTGGCTAGTGCTTCCTAGCAATGTTTGCTATCATTTAAAAATCTTTTTAAGTGAACCATAAACACAATACAAAGGATTAAAAGAATGTTCAAAATACAGTTACCTAATGATGCTCAAAGATACATTTATAGGTATGAAAACAATCTTTTTAAAAAGTTAAAAAGGAGAATAAGAAAATTATTTTAAAGCAATCAGGTGAAAATTTAGAACCTGCCAATGGAAGGAACACATCAGACCTCTTAGGGAGGCTGTTTCCCACTCTTCTGTTTTACTGAAGAGATTTCTAAATGATAGTAAACATTACAGGAATTAAATGCTTACTTGTTTTTAGGGACTTAATTTAAAAAAATTTTTTATTATCATTGTGTGTATTGTAAATACATACCTCAGTGCATGTGGAAGTCAGAGGATAACTTTGCAGAATGGGTTTTGTTCTACCACCATGGATGTGGGGGGTGGAACTCTGGCAAGTGCCTTTACCCACTTAGCCCTCCTGGCTTGGTTTTAGGTACTTTTCTACATAGACGAAGTTCTGATTTCTTCCTTTCTTCCTTTCTATAAGATTTGTTTATTTATTATGTATACAGTGATCTGTCTGCACATCAGAAGAGGGCACCAAATCTCATTATAGATGGCTATGAGCCACCATGTGGTTGCTGGGAATTGAATTGGAAGAGCAGCTAGTGCTCTGAGTCATCTCTCCAGCCTAAAGTTCTTATTCTTAACAAGATAGAAAAGTAAAGTCTCCATTCTGATTGGAACAAGAAAAAAATATTTTTGAAGAATATTAAGACAATCTCCACACTAGAAGTTTTTATAAAGAATAATGTGTAGGTTAAAATCATTAAGTGTAATATGGTAAGACATTTAAAACCTCAAGGTAAGAGAGTAAACCCAGATGAGTTAGGGGAAATAGTGTGTGTGAGTGGGTTTCATGAAAACACTGTATACAATGCATTAGATTCTCAAATAAAATACATTTTTTAAAATATGCAAACAATCATTCAACACAAGTGTGTGTGTGTGTGTGTGTGTGTGTGTGTGTGTGTGTGTGTGTGTGTGTGTGTGTGTAGGGATCTACAAAACACGGCACCCTAACTCAGAGTTCCTAGGACATCTGAAACTATATAAGGTAATAAACTCTTAGTTCTTAGTGTATTTTATCCAGATGTAACAAGCCAGTTATTATTGAAGTTGGAAACATTACTGATGTGAATAACAACATATAATCTACACACAGTACCAGAAAGAACTGTTATCACCTAAATGGCATATGTATATGCGTGTATATTTAATTGAGCATCTGAGGCATAATTCCAGCATAGATCATAATTTAAGAAATTAACTCCCTAATTTCCACTTTACCCTTGATAATACGAGGATTTTCATCATTGAAATGTAGAATATAACAAATCATAACTTGTTGAAATGGAAAAACACAATCATTTTTTAGGATAAAGTCAATTTTAAATTTTAATAAAGATGTCAGTCAATCTTATCTAATTATACACTTTTCAATTTAACAAAAACAATTCTAAATAATGTCCCCTTAAAGGACATATAAAATTTTATACTGAAAATTTAAAGAACAAATGTAAATTTGTCCTATTAGATTTTTTGTTTACTGTGATAATAGTATCTCATTTGGAGGGCACAATAGCTTAGAACTTATGATCCTTCTGCCTCAGTATCATCATGTGCTACAAGTATAAGCAAGTTTCCCCCCAGCATACATCAAATCACACTACACACTGCTCTAATAAGTTAGATTTCAAATTTTAAAAGGTAGGAATAGTTTTCATACCTATTTGCATATCTTAACGTATTAAGAGTATTTTCACAAGATGCCATTCCTGGAGATATTGTGGCAATCTATAAGGGGAGGGGCAAAGATAAAATCATAAATGATCAAGAAAATAACCCTGACAAATAGTTCAGTAAGATCTAATCTTACAATCTACTTTAAAATGCTTGTACTGGTATCTGACCTCTATGATCTACCTATCTAGTATGTTTATAATCACCATAAACCCAGTTAAAAACAGAAAAGATTTTCTGAAGGTCCCAGAAAGTCAATAAAAATCCAGGACAAAATGAAGGCTAACATTTAGAAAAAGGAACCACAGACTGCCCCTCCACCTATTTTTTACTATTACTAATGGAATAGTGTTCTGTCAGAGACGATGTCTGACTAATGTCCCACAGGACCACTGAAGTCTCACTAGAAACTAGAATTCCTGGTTAAGAAACTGAAAGGCAGTTTGGGAGTGGAGAGCCTAGCAGCTGGAAAAGGCAAACTGTCTTATAAGAAAGAGAGCGGAAGACTTGGGAAGAAACTTAAATTGTATACAAAGCTACACAAATCTTTGGTTGATCACCTAGCTTGCCATTAACACAAGCAACACAGTGAAGTATTCAGACATTAGAATTAAAAAGCATTATAGCTCCACTACATTATTTTCCACCAAATTGGCAGGAACCACATTTTAAAATAGCATAATTTCTCATAAAAGGGTAATTAATTATAATTAGAAAACACCTACAATTTCCATAGATATTATCTATTTACTCCTTCAGGATAAAAACAAAAGCAAAACAATCAAAAACCCCAACTTACCATGCAAGTACGAGAATTTTCACCTATGAATGAATCTCTCAACACCTGAGTAAGTTTACTTGCTCGGAAAGGAGTGTGAGGTTTATTTCTACCTAAGGCTCTGATGCACTCCTAAAAATTAAGAAAACATTTCTTATCAATTAGGTTTTATTACAGTCATTTTGAACAACATTTTGAAGAGTTTTTTTACTTGCTAACTTCCAAGAGAACTAATGAACTCTGAAAACTTTTATAGAACGTCATAAATATTAATTCAAGAAATTGAGTAACAAAAATAAACCCTTAATTATTCTAAAACAACAACAAAGTCCCCAAAATATGACTAGTGTTTTAAAGTTCAGGCAACAAGAAAGCTGTAAGAAGTTGAGATTGTAAAATAGAATCCCCAAAGCTACAGCTGTTATATTACAATCCTTCCAACCCCTGATTTTCTAATTAGGAAGGAAAATGTAAGAATCCTTTAAAGTTATTTTGGCCTAACATTTCTTTGTTAGTTTTTTGAACACAATTCTGTTTTAAGACATCATTTCTGCCCTCTCCTGTCCCTTTAATGTCACTGTAGTACTTTAAGGGGTTAACTTTAACAGCAGGATGAAAGAACTCTCCATCAACCAAGGGAGGAGCCTGAACGAGGCTCTTTGGATCCTATTTGGAATCACAGATTAGAAAAAAAAAAAAAAAAAGCAACATTTCTCAGTTTAATTCCACAGTTGCCTGAGACCCCTGAAGAAAGCTTGGCTGATTATGGTACTTTAGAATCTGAATAAGCAGCCTCAGAATGGGCCTGTAAAATAATTTCCTTTATTTGTTTAAAAACAAGGGAAAGCCGGGCGGTGGTGGCGCACGCCTTTAATCCCAACAGGCAGGCAGATTTCTTTGAGTTCGAGGCGGGTTGGACCGACAGCCTCCAAAACAATACAGAGAAACCCTGTCTAGTAAAACAAAAAAGAAAAAACAAAAAAAAAAAAAAAAAAAAAAAACGGGGGGGATGTGTACATGGAAAAATTCTGTGTACAATAAAATATGTAACTTCACATATGGCAATTAAAGTTTGTAAACCTCTTTTTTTTTTTACAATCGAGTAAGCAAAATTAAAGTTAAAAGTAAAAGACCTTTCATAGCTAACATTTTACTTACCTTGAGTGCCAACAGGCTTTTATTAATTTCAGCACCTTCAAGCCTGGTTTGCCTATCTGCACTTGATGTATCAGCGCCTCTTTCATTCCCAGCCAAATCAATGAGAGAAAACTTGCCATGTAGCTTTCCCTTCCTTCTGAGAATGATCTGAAACACTGCATGACTCCGAGATGAGTGTGCATTTGCAGACGTTTGACCCGATGTTCTGTAGTGAGTAAGGACATAGTGACACATGTTAACCATAATATTTTCCCTCAAGATCTCCGCTGTGCTGGTACGCTGCACCCACAGGACCTGAAACAGAATAGGACTTACCTGCAACTGTTGCCGATGTCAATGAGTTTCAGTACATCTTCCACACATCTGACCTCTCGTTCCTGTAATCCTACCACTTGCACCTGCTGTTTTCCATCTTCAAGTACTCTTAATTTTGTTTTCCTATTTAGTAAGTCAAACACCTACAGAAAACCATACTCAAATTAGAAAACTAGATTTAAAAAAATCAGATCCATAAAACTACTATTCTCAGAACAATGCTCAACACTGAAAGCTTGAAAAGACATTCAAAAGTCTCAAGACATCAACATCAACTATTACATTTACAAGCACATAGACCTTGTAGTGGAGGTCATAAACAAAGCAAATATATTGAATGCTACTGAATTATACATTTATAATGTATAACAGACATATATTACCACATTTTTAAAAACACGGTCTGGGAATAGGAAGACAACTCAGTTGTAAAGTGTTGCCAAGAAAGTACAGGGACCTGAGTTTGATCCCAAATAATCACAACACTGAGGAAGTGGACCCTGGGGCATGATGGCAAGCTAGTCTATACTCATGGGCCAGCAGTGAAAGTCTCTGTCTCAAAACTACAAGGTAGATAACTCCTGAGAAATAACACGAGGCTGACTTCTGGCCCCTATATGTACACACGTGTAGATGCACAGACACCCACCTACACACATGCACCAATATACATGCACTCACATACCACCCCCCACACAAAAGGAACAACAACAAAACATCTCACATACCTTTCCACTATAAATTTCAAAAAATGTTGCATATACTTGAAGTTCTAATTTCTTATAGTTTGGCTTCTTCAGCATTAAAAAGACATCTCGAGCTGTCAAAAATTTCACACATGAAGTTTGTTAAAATGCAACAAATCTTTTATTTTTAGAAGAATCAGTTAATATTAAGCTATACAGCAAGACTGTGGTCAGCTTGGAATACAGGAGCCTCTATCTCAGACCCTGGGGGTGGGGGTATGATCCAGTAACAATTAGCCATTGCATAATTTATAGTAATCTAATATTTTGCCACACTGCAGTGACCCAATAAATATAGGATTTTGTAAAAAGTTTGCTATAAATACAATGTTCTGCTGCATGTATTTCTGCACACCAGAAGAGGGCACCAGATTCATTATAGATGGTTGTGAGTTACTACATGGTTGCTGGGAATTGAACTCAGGACCTCTGGAAGAGCAGTCAATGCTCTTAACCTCTGAGTCATCTCTCCAATCCATCGTTTTTTTTTTTTTGTTTGTTTGTTTGGTTTTTTTTGTTTTTGTCACCAAGAGTTTAATTTTATACTTTTCTTATGACTTTTTTCAAAATTGAGAATGGATCTCAGATAACCAAGGTTGGCCTTGTCTCTGCCTCATAAGTACTAGGACTACAAGGTGGTGCTACCATGACAGACCATGACCTCGCATTTCTTTTCAACTAATCTGAAAATGTACAGTTGATCTAATACACCTTGTGTATTGCTGGACAATAAAAAGTCTTATTCAAACACACATGAATAATATTCAAGATTATAAACTATGCACACAAAGGACACTTACCTGCTAATGCATAAATTCCCTTAGAACAATCCTGATTCTTTCCTGAAAAGTCACCACCCATAGTCTACATTTGGAAAGAAAATAAAGAATAATAGAGTTTATTCAGAAATAAATTATAAAAATTTATGTCTTAAGCCGGGCGTTGGTGGAACACGCCTTTAATCCCAGCACTCAGGAGGCAGAGGCAGGAGGATCTCTGTGAGTTCGAGGACAGCCTGGTCTACAGAGTGAGTTCCAGGACAGCCTCCAAAACAATACAGAGAAACCCTGTCTCGAAAAACAAAACAAAACAAAACAAAACAGGTTTACGGTGCTAACTCAATTCATAAAGTGCTTGCCATATAAATAAGAGGACCCGAGTTCCATCTCCAGGAACCCATGTAAAATAATGCAAGCGTCACAGTACATAATTATAACCTAGAATTGTGAAGGTGGAGACAAACAGATGCTTGGAGTTTCCTGGACAGCCAGTCTAGCTTACATGGTAGCTCCAGGCCAGTGAGAAGCTGTCTCAAGAACACAAAGTGATGACACCAGAAGAGTGACAGCCGATGCTGTACTATGGCCTCTACATGGACACTCACACCCAGAAGAATTTAGGCCTTATAATTAAGCTGTAAGAGGGAGACTGTAGCACCACAGCAGGATACAACTTTAACAGTCACTTACATGCGTTTTTCCACTTCCAGTCTGCCCATAAGCAAAGCACGTAGCCATTCCCCTTTCAAATATTGTTTCCACTAGTGGTCTAGCAGTAAACCTTAAAAGGAAAATAAAAAAGTGTGTCACAAATATCTAAGTTAAACAAATAACCGAAGTAATACAAGTATATTCCATTAATAAAGTACAGCAGGAGTTTAAACAAATCTTTAGTTTCCAAAACTGAAATATTAGGTTGGTGAAAAAGAGAACTGTGGCTTTGGACCATGAATTTTAAATCAAGCATTTTTTATCAAGAAAAATAGGAACCATTATAATCAACACATTTTGGGGCCATGTCTATCCTTACAGTGTTAAAATCTGTGCTCTGGGATTATACAAACTTCGCCATTCTGCTGACCGTGGAAGTGTTTTCCTTCCAATAATTTGTCAAGATGTTGAAGGGAAGCAGCTGGTCGGCAAGAAGTCAGGTGAATATAGTGGGTGACACAAACGTTGCATGGGAACTAACGTATACAGTGGGTGACACCATACCCAATAGTGTAATAAAAAACAGGGACCCTCCCCATTGGCCTGTGCCAGCTGCAGACACTGCAGATTTTGGCGTATCTCATCAGGTTGCTGAGCACTTTCTCAAATTATCAGAGTTTTTCTAGGATCCAGAAAGCAACAATTGATCACATTAGTATCAGACAAACAAACTGTGACCCTGAGCTTTTCTGGGTCTGAGTTTGGATTTGGGGAGTGCAGTGGACCTTGTTCTTGGTTCAAGCACTGAGTTGGGTCTTTGTACACAATGAACTTGTCATTTAACAATCAACTTGAAAACAGTCCATTGTTGAGAGGGTAAGAAAGGTCAAAAGCTCAAAATATTTTCTTCATTTTGTTATTTCATAAGCTTATAACCACATCAGGTTTTGTCAACTTTCCCATTTACTTCAAATGCTGAATATGGACAACTGACATATGTGGGGAAAATGTAAGCTAATTATAGGACACTGAGCTTGGTTTACTTTTTTAATAATATATTAATAAATTAGCTGGTATCATTAAATTAAAAAGTGGGAAGGGATAAGAAATACTTCTTTACTGGGAAGAACATTAAACAGCATGCTAAAAAACAATTCATACGCCATTGCTAGATTTTTCAATGCAAACTGAAGACGGTACAAAATAGCAAGGGCAGGAAAAAGTTCTAGTCTAATGGAACTATAAATAACCTTGAATGATAAGGTCAAAAAGTGTGTCTTACTCCATACAGGTAAGAGTTATGTATTGGTAAATTTAGGAAGTATAAATACGCCGAGTTCGAGAATAGCCTGGTCTACAGAATGACTTCCAAGAAAACCAGAGGTGTTACACAGAGAAACCTTATCTTAAAACAACCAAAAGAAGTATAAATATAGATTGAAGCTCAAAATGTTGTTAATCACAGATATACCTGAATCAGTACTCAAAGTCTATTATAAAAACAAGACTTATATTTTATGAACTAAGAAAGAATTGTTTGAAGAAAGCTAAAAGAAATTACTGATTATGACTACAATTACCATTTTAACAGATATTTCCTAATATACCTATTTAATATTCCAATATTCAATTCTTAGGATCCTTATTAGCTCTAATTTTCTGTTTTCTAGGGGTTTTTATAAAATGAAATTAGGAAAATAAAACATGCAAATAAATGCAAAGGTATTTCTACATGGAATACAATGGGAACACTGCAAAAATCTGTTATAATTATTAGAAGTATGTTCATAAAACAATATGTGAAAAAATCTACATGACATAAAAATTTCAGATGTTATAAGTATAAATATGATTTCCCTATAAGTTGAATGTAAACTAAGAATTATATGTACTAAAACAACCATCAAACTTAAAAGATAAAAAAAGTAAGTGATAAGTAAATTTACAGGACTTTTTAACTTTTATTTGTAAATACACACTAAGGAAAGATCAAGACTAATTAGTAATAAATGTGCAATAGGTATTTCAAATTTCTTTATTAGTACAGGGATTAAAGTAGAAAAATTTGTTTTCTATGCACCACATCCCATTACTTATGTTAGTATTTCCCAGAATGCTTTTTCTTTTCTTTTATGTGTATGGGTGATTTGCTTACAGGCATGTCTGGGCACCACCTGAGTGCAGTGTCTGTGGAGGTGCTTGTCAGATAACACGAGACAGATGGCTGCCAAAAACTTAACCTAGGTATTCTGGAAGAACAGCCAGTGTTCTCACTGTTGAACCATTTCTCCAACCCCTCTCAGAAACTTCTTATCCATATTTGTGTCTATGATATGTGTAAATTAACTGTTAGCATAAAAAACTAATTTTTGTTTTTTGAGAGCAGGCGTCTCTATGCAGTCCTGGAGCTCACTATGTAAACCAGGCTGGCATCCATCCAACTTGCAGAGATCCTCCCACCTCTGCCTCCTGAGTGCCACCACACCCAGGGAAAACAAAGCAAAACGAAAAACACTTCAATTGTTTGAAGTTTTAAAGAGATTACATGTTAAAACTCATAGTTTATTACATTTTCTTTGGAACTTATTTGAAACAAATTCACTTACCTGTAAACCATTTCATTAGGAGCTGAGTCATCAAAGGCATAATCAAAACGAAATGTTTGATTTTCTAAGTACCTTGTTAAGTCTACTTTTTGTTTGGGTTCATGTACCATCACAACATCTTTACTAGGGATTGTGATTACATCAAGATCTTTCATTTGAGTTTCTAGAAGAAAAAATGAAAAATCAATGTTCAGTAATTTTCACAGCATTTGATCTAATGAAAATTAAAAAAGCGTATTAAAGTCTTTAAAAACTTATTCAATACTGTATGTGTGAATGCATGCATACACTTGGGTGTGGTATAAATGTGGAAGAAGAAAACAGCAAGAGTCAGTTCTCTCCCTCCACCATGCGGGTCCCAGGGGCCAAACTCAGGGCAGGAGGACTGACAGCAGGCATCCTCACTAACCCATCTTAATATTTCTCTTTTTGGAGATGAAGTCTCACAACATAGTCCAGGCTGCCCTGAACTCAAGACCTTCTCCCTCAGGCTCCCAAATGCTAAATTACAGGAATCATGTTACCATGCCTGATTTCTGAATTCCACTCTCTACAAAGTTCATTAAGTGTCCTACCTTTTTTATTGAGTGGTCGTTTTCTTACACAAACACATATCCTATGTTCATCAATCTAGGAACAAAAAATCATATTATTTCATTGATTATAAGTTCTATGTAAAACAACAGAAAGTAAGCTATGATTTTTTGAAATTTTGTAACATATATGTTACTTAAGCTTTAAAAAACAAACTAGCATTACAGAAATTTTAATGGTTGTCAGAAACAATTACTAAAATTCTGAGCATTGGCAAAACAAATTCTTGGTAAGTCAATACTTAATGAATAAGGTTTTAGAAAGTACTACCATCCTTAGCATTAAGTTCTTGTTAAGAAGGCACCTTCCACTCATTTCAAGATGTGTTGTATACAATAAAAGAAAAGTTTCTATTCTACAAACTGGCATCTTTTCATATTGATTGTAGATAAAGTTGTTGGCAAAGGTCAATAACAAACAAAAAATCAGAATTCTCACATTACTGAACAAAATAACTGGAGCAATTCTATGAATGACAATTCTTTTTTTAAAAAGTTTTTATTTTTAATTATATACATGTGTATGGTTATGTGCATGTAAGTGCTGAGTTCTCCCAGAGCTGGAGGTACAGGTTGGTGGGCCTGACATGGGTGCTGCTGGAAATCTTAAGAACCCCAAGCTGGGTGTCCCGCAAGAACAGATGGACTCAACCACTGAGCCATCTCTACAGCCCCATTAACGACAAATCTTATGTACAATTTTAAAGATAAAACTTACATTCAACTCATGCTTTCTTGGAATAAATCATTTCCCACCACCACACCTATTTTGGAGTCTGACAATTTGCCTAATTTAATTAAAACATGAGCTCAGTTGCAATAGGTGAGACACCTAGCAGTGTAGCAGGGCCAGGCTTATGAATAAGAAATCTATCAGGACCTGTAACACACTGCCTAACACAAATACTTTTGGTAGTCAAACAGTCTACAACCATTAGGTCAGGAGTATTATTTTTCCTTGGGAAAGTATTTTCATTCTGCATTAAGTAGTGAAACTATAGACTACTTTTCAGCTTTGGGTTTAGTATATTGTAGCCCAAGAGCAATTATTACCGCTAAAGCCAGAGTAACGTTTATTTAAAGATAACAAGTTAGTTAACAGTAAATTAGAATGCTGGTGGGATATATAGTCCAAACCAAAGTTAAAATTAGCCTGGAACAGAGATCAAAGCCTTTGTGAAGGTCTTCTTATGCTATTCACTAACGGGATGCACGGCCATTCTGAAGACGGAGGCTTCACTTGAAAGAACAGCTATGCGGTAGGACCTCTAATATTAAAACTATGGAAGATTAACAAAAAAGTAGCTGAGTTGTGATTTTTCTCACAACATGAGACCTGAACCTCTAAGGAAAGACAAAACCATACAGGTAAATACAATATACAATTAGTCATTATAAATGTTTTTATTTATACTATCAATCTTCAGAGTAATAATTCTCAAAGGTTCTTACAGGATCAGCTGTTGTTAGCGGTCTGTAATCCAAGCTTCCTCTGAAGTCTCTGATCATACACATAATTTCATAATTTGGATTGGTAGCATCAACATCCTGTAGGAAAATAAGATTTGGCACTTAGTAAGTTCAGGTTAGTATGGTCAGATCCACTTTCACATAAACACAATTCTGTTAATCTGCATATATCCTGTGCACTCCACAGTTCCTCATTAAAACTACCCTTAGCTATTAAAAAAGCACCCATCATACATTTAGTTAGAAAATGCAGTAAGGATAACAGCACTCTAGAACACTGGCAAAGAACTCTAGGAAGGTTGAAACTGTGGGAAAATGCATCCTACATCCCAACTCTCAGAATTACTTCATCCAGTATTTCAATATTAAGTATCGCCAACTTTGCACAAGTCCACCATGGAGTTGTTCCTGCAGTCACATCCACAATGAGGCTCCTTCTTTACCTACCCTGTCCATCTCTACTGCTCTTCCCAAAGCACTACTATTTAATTTTTCTGTGCCCGTGCCAGTTCTATTGTCAAAACATTAAAGGATTCTTCGAAAAGTTTGGTCTGAAGGCATAAGCATGCTGTTCAGTTACATATACATGCCCCATTCTTAAATATAATCATAGTCTTACAAATAAGTTAAAAATGGATTCATTTACATTCATTTCCCTTCTCTTTGTTAACACTAAGATAACCAAGATGTTTAAACAGAAAACAAAAAAACAGCAACAACAAAAAAACAACAAAAAACAATATAACAAAACTTAAAACATAAATAAAGATAATTTGTTTGCTTTTTGTTTTTTGGAGTCAGGGTTTCATGTGGTCCAAGTTGACCTTGAACTTTTGTCCTCCTGCTTCTACCTCCCAGAGGCTGAGAAGTATGAAAATATTCATACCGAAAAGCAAGATAATATTTACAAAGTTAAAAAAAATTCAAGGTATTGAATTTTGACTGCAATTTATTTCAAATTCAATACTTACAAGGTTTTATTTAAATTATGACTAGCAATGGTCAATAGCCTCCCTGTAATGAATAATAAACCACTAATACTCAAGTCAAAATTTTCTATTAATATTTAGACTATACTGAAGAAAGATTTTTAAAACTGTGACAGAAATTTATCTTCTATTCATCTTTAGAAAAGCACACCAACTTGTCAGCTAGGAAGCACAATGGGGAGTCAGAATCAGGAGCTCACTGGGACGGTTAGGCATTATGAAGTACCCCCAGGGAACACCAGGTGGCATGTCTGCCAAGCGTGAGTCAATGGAGTCTGTATTCTTTCCCTGGAGTCACAGTCTCAGGTAGTCCAAACTGGCTTCAAACTTGCTATGTAGCTGAGAATTCCTTAAACTTATTTTAAAATCAACTATTTTTACTGTTACAACCTACCCTTTTCTCAGCAAAAAATTATGAATTTATGTTACAAACCTGGGCTCTTTTTTCTCTAAGTTCTTGCTGTTGCAATCTCCTTTTTTCTCGTTTTTCTTGCAGTTTTTCTACTTCTTTAACACAATTAGATTTTCTACGTGCTAAAAGGAAAAGAGTGAGCTGCAGAAGCACAGTTTTCTCTTTGCAGGATTACACTTAACACACAGAAATTGCATGAAAACTTCAGGACACACACAAAGTCCACAGTAATGAAGCATGCCAATTATACCTAGGTGAACTTGACTTATGAGCTGCTTTAACCAAAGTAGGAACAGGACATTATACAGATGAGTCAAGGGAAATGACTCAAACACACTGATACATGTCATCTCTTGGTTTAGAATCACAGGTCTTTAAACTGAAAGGATCAATTAGTGGAATTTTTTTCTAGAATAACTATTTTAAAAAAACCCACCTACTCAGAATTTTAAATGCAAAGCAATTGAACCATTGTTATAACCTCATGAAAAATTATATATATGTATGTATATATATGCACATATCCAATTAACAGACTAAAGCACGAGATACAAATTATAATTTGCTGGCAAAATGAAATATCTTCAGCCAAGTTTGTCTTAGATTGCTTACTACTAAGGAACTTGTAATGATGACCAAGAGAGACTACATGTATGCCTAAAATGACTGAATCCTTGATACTCTATTTACATACAAGGAGGTCCAAATTCCTTTTTTGCAGCTTGAACTGGAGATATATCTGAAACACTACCATTCTGTTGTGCAGAAGATGACTGTTCAGGAAGCTGACTAGGCCGTGCTCGTGCTGAACCAACCACTACAAAACAAATTTAATTCAGAACAGTATTAAAAGCTAACCAAGGTAAAAGGAAAAGACATCCCCATGTCAAATGTGATACAAATATTGAACTCATGGCAGGCACAAAGTCTCATACCTATAATCCCAGCACTTGGTAGGCTGAGGCAGGACGATTAACACATGTTTGAGGCAAGCCTGGGTAATAGTGAGACCCTGTCCCAAAAAAGTCAATAAATTTCGAGCAGTGGTGGCACATGCCTTTAATCCTGGCACTCAGGAGACAAAGGCAGATGGATCTCTGCAAGTTTGAGGCCAACATGGTCTACAGAGTGAGTTCTAGGACAGCTAGTCTACACAGAGAAACTATGCCTTGTAACCACCCTCCTCACCCCCCCAAAAAAGTTAATAATTTACATTTAGCAAACTGCCAAACTTTTCTATAAATGGTGTATAAACTACTAAAAGTGGTCAATTCTATTCAATATATTGACACAATTAAAAGACATTTTCAAAGTCTAGTTATATCAGGAAAGAGGCAGGCAGGCAGATCAAAGTCTGAGGCCAGCATAGATTTTACAGCAAGTTACAATGATGAAACCAAGTATTAAAACACAAGCAAAATGTACAGATTTAACTTCCATCAGTGTAATTTTAGCCACAAAACTACATATTTACCTAAAAACAAAAGCTAAACTGACTTTTAACAATCATTTTTAAAAGATGCACACGAAACCCATGTCTTACAATTCCAGAATGCAATGACATTCCTCTGAGTATATATGCAATACAAAAGCATTCTCATTTTTAAAAAATGTATATGATTTAGATACACAGAAAACAAATGTAAAAGCCCTTCCAACCTTCCTTACATTACAGATTCCACTCTTTTGCTCCCCAACATGCAAATCTTCAGCAGAGTGTTTCCCCACTGGAGATGTCACAAAAATGCAAAAAAACTGAAAATTAAATACAAACAGAAAGTGGGATGTGGTGGCGCATGTGTAACGCCAGCACTGGAGAGAGTCAAGGAGATCAAGAGCTCAAGATCATTCTTGGCTTTTATCGTGCTCAAGACAAACCTGGGCTACAGAGACTGTTCCAAACACACAACACACCCATGCACACAGACTCAGAAAATTTACCAAGAAATGTAAGTTCTCAAAAGACTTGAAGGGTGGTAATGGAAGGGCTTTCTCCTCTCTGCTTCTAATCTCTTCTCTGGCCATCTTGCACTACATCCATGCACACACAGAGACATACAACTGTACAGCAGTTCAGACTATATGAAATGTGAAGCCAACTATAATTTATGCCCATTCAAATTTTCTTTCACCAACTTCAAAGTTAACTGTTAAACTTTTTAGAAGCCTTAGTCAGAAAATTATGCGCAAACCAGTGATAATGAAATTCATCCTTGTGACACGATAAATCATCTTGACTCCTTCCAATCATTTCTTCTTTTTCTAATGTCCTCCTCAAATTATAAAGATTGAGTGAGATGAATAAAAACTACATGCTCTGTTGAGTTTCTACTCACTAATTGTTTTTGCTTTTTCGAGACAGAGCTTCTCTGTGTAGCTTTGGAGCCTATCCTGGCACTCGCTCTGCAGACCAGGCCTCCAACTCACAAAGATTCACCTGCCTCTGCCTCCCAAGTACTGGGATTAAAGGCATGTGCCACCAACACCCCAAAACTATCTCATATTTTTTAAACTAAAGAGGAATTATTAATGCTATTAGGATATTAGGAATATTAAAATTAGCCATGTGTAGTTTAAACAAATAGCACCAAGGGTAATATTTACTTTTGATATACTTCATCAAGGCCATGCTACAAAGTCAGTAAACAAGATTAAGGGATAATGGTCTACTTCACCTCTATTATCTCTTGGGGGAGGGTCATTCTTAATAGATGCCACAGTCCTTCGGTTCTATAAAAGAAAATAATATTCATTATATTCATTCCTCATATCTATCACTGCCCCAACTTCTTTTAATTAAATGAAAGCAAACAAACAATAGTAACATAAATCGAATGGCAAAAAAACTATAAATAATAAAAAACTACTAATTTATCAATAGTCAAGCTCCTGTCGGAGGTACATATCCAAATCCCCATATATTCAGGAATGAGAAAGATATTGCTCTAAGGACCTTATTTGTTTCCATTTTATACAACGCTATGGAGTCATTATTTTCTTAATTCTGAGCTCAGGTCAAGTGTAGCATTCTTCGTATTTTTAAAGTTCAGTAGTACAATTTTTCATCATTACTCAGAAATGAACACATCAACACACACACAACACAAAAAGTAGGGAGCAAGAGAAAGGAGGGGTGGGGGAAGGGAGAAAATTTTGTGGCTTTGCTTCTCAGCACTATGGACTATGGAGATCAAACATCAAAGCACATGGGAAGGTCCTTTGAAGCTCAGGTTTGGCTACTTTCATCATTGATTCACTACATTCAGAGCAGATATCAGAAAGGTGTTCCTGTTCCTGCCATTTCAGATGAGATCTGAAGCGAGGCTAAGTAACTATACTATAATGCTGTCATGCCAGAAATGATTACAGGTTGGGGATCTATTATCTGAAAAGCTTGAGTTCAGAAATGTTTCATATTTGTTCATGTCTTGGGAATATTTGTATCTGTGCACTCATGTGTGTAAAATCAGGTATTCTGGGAACAGGACTCAATTTTAAATGCAAATTCATTTGTTTCATATATACGTTACATATACACGTAGCAGGGAAGGAGGGAGGGGGAAGGAGGGAGAGAGAGAGGGAGGGGAGGGAGGGAGAGAGAGAGAGAGAGAGAGAGAGAGAGAGAGAGAGAGAGAGAGAGAGAGAGAGAGAGAGAGAGAGAGAGAGAGAGAGAGAGAGAGAGAGAGAGTTTAAAACCCGGTGGAGGACATCTGGTACCTGCTGTCATGTCCCACCTTATTCTCCTGAGACAGGGTTACTCACTGAAGCTGGAACTAGGCTGACAGAAAGCTTCAGTCTCTACCTTCCACAGAGCTGTGGTTACAGGTGTGTAAAGCACCAGTCACACCTGCTGTTTTTAGTTACATGTATGCTAGTTAGGCAGACCTGAATCTTCATGACTGTGATGCAAGTGTTCTCATCCAGGGACCTCAACCACTGTAAAAATAATTTTGTGTAATACTTTTGGTGTAGCTTTATTGTGACTGAAATTCATCATACAAGGTTTCATGTGGAATTTTCTCCTGTGGTCTGATGTTTGTTCTCAAAAAATTTGCATTTGGAGAATGGCAAAATGGCTCCATGGGTAAAGTTACTTGCTTCACAAATCTAACCTGAGTTGATCTAGACCCCCACCACACACACTCAGACACAAAAAAGCCAGATGTAGTTGTGTGCTCTTGTAATCCAAACACTCCTGCAGCAAGACAGGAGCCTGGAGCACATAGCACATCAGAAACAAGAGACCCGGGTTCAACAAGGTTTGGGGGTGAGAACCATCTCCTCAAGGCTGACCTCTGATCTCCACCTGAATGACATGGCATGCATACACCTACACTCACACACAAATCAAGAATAAAATGTTCATAAATAAAAATGTTAAAACCTTGGATTTTGGAGCACTTTTGATCTTGGATTGAGAAATTAGTAGTAAATTACATCTCTGGATCTAAGGTGGTAATACAATATTGATTCATTTATTAAACTTAAATATCAAATTACTATGAAACAAACATGGCGAGTTATCCTAAAAAAGGTTTCATTACAGGGCTGCAAAGGCTTGGCTACCGTATAGATTAAGACAACCAACTTCTGGTTCTATTTATATAGCTACTAAGAGTGAATTCACTTAAAAACAAACCCACAGCAAATAATTTAGTTATACTCAACCCTGGCTGCACACTCCAATCAGATTAGGTACTATTTGGATAGTGATGCCCAGAAATCAGTATTTTTAAAAATCCATCAAGTGACTACAATGAAAAGTAATGTTTAACAACGAACATCAAGGCTGAGATGTAGAATACCAAGGCAAAGGAGAAAAACTGGGCTTGATTTCAACATGGGAATGGAAGGAGTAGATAAAACTATACCAATCCATTAAGGCTTTGAAGATGCCCATGGAAACAGTTCATGTATACATATTAATGACCTCTAACAGTGACTCTCACTATGCTTAAGTTATATGAACTGAAACTCTGATTTATGTTCATATATAGTTTAAAAGCGGAGTATTTTGAGGATGGTTAAGTCTCTATAATACATTTGCATGTTTATGTATGTTTTCTTGCAAAATATGGGATCCCTGTAGGCTTGCAAGCCATGCCATATTCATCTGTATATTAACACAGTACCTGTACAAGGTAGAAAAATCAACAGATGCCATTGAATTAAACATTAAGAAGTACAGGTTCAATAACATAGGACTGTCTGATTTTAAAGGAGTTGTATTTTCATGGAATTTATTAATAGAGTTTCAAGAGAATGGAAGAGGTACCTTTAAAAAAGATAAAATTAATGGGCTTTCCACTTTTGCAGAGCTGGCTTCCTAAAGGATGCGGCACTGCCCTGAAGCATCTCCTCACCAACAACAGGCCTAGTTACACGACTCTTATCACTTCCCATCACTTTAAAAGATCACCAGAATATTTATTATTCTTAACAAACAGGGATTTTGTCAGTCAGCAAGCATTCATTCAACACTGACAAGAAAACAACTTTAACTCATCTATCCTAAGAAGCTATCATTTCCCCCAAATCCTAATTAAGCAAGGATTTTTTTATGATACGATCTAAAGATTGTCATGAATTGTCAACTGGACAACCCTGACTCAGGAAGGCATGTATGTGCATGCATGGATACAAATGGTAGAATTTTTTTAAAAATGTAAACAAACAATGCTTAACATATACATACTCTTCAGTGTCTACCAGTCTCACGGCAGCTTGAGTGAGTGCATACACACACACACACTCCTAAATTTATCACCTACCTTCACAATTTTATTCACTTTTGAGGATGATGAAGGTGGAGGTATTTCCGGACTAGGTTCAATTTCTTCATCGGGTACAAGGTCAGGGTTAAGCGAAAAGATGCTTTCCAAGTCAATCTGTTTAAACAAAAACATGGAATTATAGAGCAAATGACTCTTAAATGACTTCAACTTAAAGTATGGCAAACTACATTGTTTATAACAATAGTTCGCATATATTTTACACTTGATTTTAAGAAAAAGTGACATCAAAACTACCTAATTGTTACTTATATATAGCAATTTTCAAATCTTGTACACTGAGCTAATGAACATCTAATATAAGGAGAGTCTCCTTTTGGTCAACTTTAAAAACTCACTGAAAATGAATTTTTTTTCTTTATGTATAGGGTTTTTTTTCTTTATGTATAGGGATTTTATCAGAATGAATATCTGTGTACCATATGCATGTCTGGTGCCCCTGGACACCAGAAAAGTGTTGGATCCTCTGGGACTATTACAGATGGCTGTGAAAACCCATGTTGGGGCTAGAAATTGAACAAGGGTCCTCTGGAAGAGCAGCCATTCATCTTAACCACTGAATCATCTCTCTGGCCCCTATTTTAAAGTCCTTGAAGGAATGATACAAACTATCTACATCATATAAAATTATAGTTTTCTGTTTTGTATTCATAATCTTGACTAGAAATGATGTTTAATCAGAAACTGTACCTCTTTGCCTTTTGTATCTCCATTTTCTATCCACTCAACAGTGACACTTTCATTATCTTCATTTAAAGATGTTACCATTGCTTGGTGTATTCGGCCTAAGTGGGAATAAAACACATTTTAAAAGCATTGAATGACAGCATTCTTAAACTTGGTTAACCACAACTTAATAATCTGCATACACATGTACACATCCATATATGCATGATCTAACAAGTCTTACAAGGGATTTTCACAAAAGAACTTTGTCTATTAGTTTCATAAAATCAAGTCCAGAAACTCACGGTATTTGATAAGAACAAAAGTCTATCTGATAAACAGTCACAGTTACACAGATTACTAAAATTTTATGCCGTCAAACAGTCTGATGATTAGTAAGTAAACCTGCTATGATTCCAAAATGACCTTGTGGTATACAAAAAAAAAAAAAAAACATACATGATTAACTGTTATACAAATAAAAAGACTATGTGACAATCACTTAAATCATATATGGAACAAACTAAAAACATTATCTTTATACAGAGAAAAAGAATGTGAGTCCCCAAAGGCTGGGAACTAGTAATTTAAATGCTCTCTTCCACATGTTGCCTGCCAAAATCTATATATGTACTTTCTCTGGTGATTGTAATCTTGCCATCAATAGACACAATATGACACACATGCTTTAAACTTGTTTCCCTTCCCTTTTAGTGGACTGAGTTACCAGTCAGTAACTATAGAGGCCAATCATTAATTTAATTTAATCATTAATTTAAGTATCACAAACTGCCATGAACATACACTTGCCACTTATTTCCTTAGAACAAATGCATACAATCAGACTAATAGATTCTCATATACATATCCACCATTTAGTGTTTATAGCATGTCTTCATTCCATTTGATTACTTGTCAGGTAATGATTTTATACAACTATGTATTACTTAATAAAATGATGAACATAGGAATTTCATTTACCCTCTTTTTTTTTTGAAACAGGGCTTCTCTGTAGCCTTGGCTCCTGGAACTCACTCTACAGAACAGGCTGACCTCAAACTCAGAGATCCATCTACCCTGTCTCCCAATTGTTGGGATTAAAATCATGCACCAACTACCACCACTTCCCTTAGGGAATTTTATAACTTATTTATAACTTATTTTAATATAATTTACAACATTTTAAATACCTAAAACAAAAACTGCATATTACAAAGACTGTAATGCTAATATTGTATTAAAGCTAATAAAAATCACTGTCAATCACTACATATATATAAATAAAATCACACACACACACATATATATATATACACTACATAAAAAAATTATAAAAATTTTAGCTGGAAACAACAGTACAAACCTATAATCTCAGAGCACTTGGGAAGTAGAAGCTGTAAATCAAGTGTTCAAGGTCATCCTCAACTACACAATGAGTTCATCCTGGGCTACACAAAACCATGCCTCTAGCCTTTCTCTCTCTCTCTTTTTTTTTTTTTTTTTTTTTTTTTTTTTTTGGTTTTACGAGATAGGGTTTCTCTGTATTGTTTTGGAGGCTGTCGGTCCAGCCTGGCCTCGAACTCACAGAGATCCGCCTGCCTCTGCCTCCCGAGTGCTGGGATTAAAGGCGTGAGCCACCACCGCCCGGCACCTGCCTCTCTTAAAAGGTGGGATTATCTTTTTTAACACACACACACACACACACACACACACACACACACACACACACACACGAGTTGCTGCTTCCATGACACCATATATATTAATTTTAGCTAAGCTATTAATTTTAACAGTTCCACAGACAGCACAGATTTAGATACTCCTTTATTAAGTATAATTAAGGAGTATAGAAGACTCAGCAGTGAAGAGCAGTTGCAGCACCCATACCAGGTGGCTCAAAACTGTAATCCCAACCAGAGGGAACTCAACAACCATTATAAGCACGCATGCACACACGCACATCCGTAAATAATAAAAAGATTGCTTTCCATTTACTTTTCCAACAAGACTTTATTCCTCTCTATCCCTAACAATGAGCATTAATCTTAATGTTTTTACTAAACTGTTTCGAAACCAGATCCTCCTTTACACTAATTCTATGCTTTGTACAAGATAGCTGTCTTGTCACACCTCTAATTAACTCAGTGAGTCAGACACACACAAAGAGACATGGAAACAAGGTGGGTGGAGAACGTTGGGAAGAACGATTTAAACAGTAGAGGGGGATGAGAGGAAAGTAGGAAGGGCATATGAGAATGATCAAAACCACTGCACAGATGTATGAAGTTGCCAAAGGAAATAAAAAGGACAGATTTTATTACTATATGATTGCAATACTCCCCCCAACTAGTCTCTGTTTCCAATCACTCTTCCCTTCTTTCTGTTCTCCATACATCAACCAAATGATTCTGGTTTAAAGCCAAATTACAGCTGAGTATGGCAGTGCATGTTTGTAACATCAGCACTAGAGAAACTGAGGCAGGAGCATTACTGCAAGGTTGAGAATATCCTGGGCAAGGTAGTGAATTCCAGCCAGCCAGGAACTTACTTCAAAACAAACAGGAAGGTTGGAGCGATGGCTCAGCAGGTAAAGGCATTTGCTGCCTAGTGTAAGGACCTCACATGATAATCTCACAAAAGTAGTAACCATTAATTGGGACAAGAAGATTGCAGTAACAAGTTTTGAGAAAGTTTGTTATTGTGGGAGAAATTGAGTGTTCCACCAATAGCAAGAAAGATAACGTTTTAGCCCAGGAAAATGTGTTTGAATACCAGACAACCTGAAGAATAAAGCCCAGCTGGATTGGCACAGTGGCACTCAGAAATCAGAGGCAGGAAGATTGCGACAATTTTGAGGCCTATATAGCAAGTTCCAGGTCAGTCTGAGGTATATATAACACCTCGTCTCAGAGCAAAACAACAAGAAGAACCAGCAGGAAATGGCGTGGCCATGGTGGGAGCTGAAGAGTGAGTGGGTCTATGACAACACGCCATGACAAGCACAAGTGAAAATGGGCTGAAATAAAATATGCCTATTTCTGGCTATCCATTTCCACACTCCATTTTTTTTTAGAGGAACTTCTGTACTGGTAACTAGGAGTGACAAAAATGCAAAGCAAAATATCTAATATTCACACTATAAATCACAATTTCAAAGTTTTGAACCTCTACAGACAACCTACAGCTTGGCAATGAGAGGATAAAGAAAATCAAGTAACACCTGGCACTAGCAGGTTTTTAGACATTGGAACCTCCAACGCAGAGATGCAGAAAGTCTTAAAATACAAAAACAGCCAGATGCAGGCTAGAGAGATGGCTCAGTGGTTAAGAGCCACTGTTCCTTTTTCAGAGGATCAGGGTTCGATTCTCAGCGCCCTCATGGTGGTTCATAATCATCTAAATCCAGTTCCAAGGTAGCTAATGCCCTCTTCTGGCTTCCACAGGCACCAAGCATGCAAGATGTACACAATACATACATACAGGCAAAACCTATTGAAACAATGAAACAAACAAAAAAACAACCACCAGATGCACCAGCTAACACTAAACTCCACAGGAAGTAAAATGGAGTAACATGAAGTCATACTTGCTTTCTGCCACTGGACCAGGCAACTAGAAACTGTATTAACAATGCAACCTGAGGCTGTCATTGTTACCAACACACATCTCTAAAACAAACTTACTTGTAATTAAGTCATTTCAGATAAAATTCTTCACCAAACTGATCACTTAAGACAGTTCCTCATATTTTCTTCAAAGTATACCACACCCTTTCATATCCATGCCCTTAATCCCTCGGCATTTAGTTACTGTGTAAGGTAATGAATGCACTTTCCTTCCCTGCCTTATGAAGACCAACTTGTCAGCACCTTTCCTGAAAAGCACTTTCTCCTCTATCTGCACATGCAACAGTACTTGTCATAGTTGAAGAGCATACACATGAGTCTATGTCCTCCTGTCTGTCTGAATCCAAGGTACACTGGCATGAGAGTTTTGCTTAACTCTGAAGCAATCTCTCCCGCCTTACTGTTCTTAAGAGTTTGTTTTATAATCTTAGCCTTTTGCTTGCTTGTATATATTATAAAATCATCTCCCATTCAAAAAAGTAAATAAAAAAGTAAATCAATAGCATCAAACTGTTAAGAAGTCTAGTTGTAAATGAACTGAGTATTATTTTGGATACCAGTCAACATTTTCCTTTCTCAAGGGCAAAAAGCAAGTATTAATATTTGGTATCACATGCAAGCCTCATAAAATGATCTTATTTTTATTTAAAAATGTTTTACTACATTTTATTTGTGTTTGTGTATATGGATACACACATGCTGTAATACATATATGGAGATCACAGGACAACTTGCGGAGTTGGTTCTATGCTTCTACATTATAGGTCCCAGAGATCAAATTCAATTGCTAGGTTTGCCAGTAGGCACCTTTATACACTGAACCACCTCATTAGCCTCTAAAATGACTTTCAGTGGCGTATTTCTCCTTCCTATACAACAGGTGTTGTAACTGAGTATGCAATGTCCCCCCACACCAGAGTTGGTGACACTACTGGTCTTGGGACCTTTCACCTTATCTTCTCCACCCGGTCCACACCTGGCCCCCACCTTGCCTTTGGCTGACCTCGAGTTAAGCTGAGCCGCTTTGCCCCACATCACTCCTTAGTGTCCTGTCATAATGGTCTGTCATATCATACATTGGTTCAGAAGCAACAAAGCCAAATGACCATGGACTGAAACTTTTAAACAGTGAACCAAAAATAAACCCTTCCTTCAATTTCTCAAGTATTTTGTCACAGTGACAAAAAGCTGGCTGGCAAATAGAAAAAAAAAGGATCCTAAAGATGAATTTGGCTGCCACCCTTTCCATAACAAAGCTCATGTTAGGGTCCTGAGAGTGTCTTCACCATGCAATCACAAAACCAGGATTCCAGCAAAGGCCTAAGTACCCAAGGGCAGTTCAGACCACAGCTCCCAAGAGCACAGGACATAGTCATTGGCAGTGGCGCATGTGCAAGATCTGCATCTGCAAGTGTGCAGAATGCAAGCACTAAGACTGCTTCTACCTAAATTCCAAAGAAAGAAGACACGAGACTCAGGCAGGCCAGGACTAC